ATGAAAATTCTTAATGGAGTACCCTCATTTCTTATTGAATTCCTAAAAAATAATATTTATAATGAATTTTAATAACTTTTTCGGATTTTTTTTAAGCTTTATTCTAATCGATTCACCCGATTCCCGATCCGGATCGCCGATTCGCCGATCCGGAACGGTTTTTTGGAAGCCCGATCCGAGTCACCGATCCGTTTTTTAAACCATTGGATGAAACTAAAAAATCATTCGTTTAATAAATAACATTATTTATAGTATCCTCATCATCATGACTTTTTCCCAATTAATTAGGGCCAACTTGTAACTCAATAGTGTACCAGGGAAAAACGGGTGAGGCTGAGTAACTCCAAGTGAACTGGGGCGAGTCCCAGCACACTGTTGCGAATATGTGTTCCTACACCACAAGGAAATTTAAAACTTATCCTTGATGGGACTTATCACTAGTGTGATTGGAGATTATAATGGTAAAACTTTTATGGGTGTGGTTTGTATAAGGCGCGAATATGTGTTCCTACACCACAAGGAAATTTAAAACTTATCCTTGATGGGACTTATCACTAGTGTGATTGGAGATTATAATGGTAAAACTTTTATGGGTGTGGTTTGTATAAGGCTGATGCTCAAAGCAATCAAATTAAAGCGCACCTTTAAATAATGTTGGAACATGCCGTTTTAGTATAATAATTTTTTGTGATGGCCTGAAAATTATTATTTTTTAATTATAAAATTTAAATGTCCCAAAATAGTGCATATCGAACATATCTATTTGAACAATTGAAAATCTTAAAAACTGATCGTCTAGATAAGATATTACAAAATTAAAACCAATCTCTTCTAATGAATTTTTGAAGTAAGCCTTAATTTGATTGTATAGAGCCTCGCCTTTATATAAACTTTTTTCGACTTTTCCTTCATTTTTGGGGCCTCGTGGAGTGAGTGTTTCCAATGAAGCTAAAGCCAAAGCTCTATTACAGCAATATCTCATACCCATGCGATCTCTCAAGGAAGTTAAGCAGAGGGCAGAAGGGACAGGGGGAATATGGTTAGATGGTGCAATGAAACCGTGAGTGCATCACGGTGACTAACCCCAAATATTGAGGAGATTAGGGAAATTATAATAGCAAAAATATTTGAGTCAATTTATATAGAACGATACCATTTACCCTGTAGGAAAAGTATACGGATCATTTACTTGTGATACAAGGTAATCACAATTAATCTTTGACTTTTCGATGTGAAATTAGATGGCTACATTTATTTTATTCATCAAGCTCAAACTTCAAATGAAATTTTCTCGATCTTTGTAACACATCCAAGATATCAGATTTCGCATGGGATGGTTATAACCACTTGTGACCTTATTGTATCAAAGGTAAATGATTTCATTATATACAATCTCTTATACATGTAAAAAATAAATGGTCTCTTTATATATTTCCCCTTTATCCAAATGGAACAATCCAAACAGTTCCTGTAGTTACACGCCATATCAATGTAGTCATGACTTTTATTATGTAAATAAATTTTATAAAAGTATACAAACAAATTATTTACTTTTAGTATAATGATGTCACAATCACTCTTGTCTGTCTGATTTTAAATAAAGTGGTTGCAAGTGAGTCATTTACTAGACTCAATGTTCACAACAACAACAAATAAAAATCTCGAGCTTCATGACATATCCTAAACTATCAATTTTGACATCTAATGACGAGCAATGATTGTGACATCCTCATAATAATGGCAAATAATATCATAGTATACAATTCCATAAATTTTGTACGCTCGTATCCTTTTGAGAAGCATGAATGAGACAATACCTTGGAAAAAGTGTTGTAGAAGATGTTAAGACCAAAGGGAGAGATGGGGCCTTTCTTTCTCCCTCTTACGAAGAACCAAAACGTTAACCCTTTTAATTTATTTATGGGAAAATATCATATTATATCTTGTTTTTAACTTCTATATCTCATCAGACTTAAAAATTGAAAACATTACTTGTAAGCAAAAAGATTCAATCTTTTCTATCTTTCAATCTCCTGAACCATTTTGATCATGTATTATTGACCTTAACAACTTATGAAATGATTCTATCTCTCTCTCTAA